TCCAACTCCCGGTACCTCAGGCGGTTATGGCCGCCGGTAACCCAGTCGCCGCTGCTGCTGCTGCGCTTGCTGCTGCTGCGCTGCCTGCTCCTCGCTCCTGCGCTAAACATAGCGCTCCAACGGCACTCTGGTGCCGACCTTACCGCACCGTATCGTATACCGGTGGGTCGATCCCCCAAGTGAGGCTGTACCGGTACTTTATACCGGTGGGGCAGAGGCCGGCCTCAATGCTGCGAGGCCTGGCCATGCCCTGAACCGTCCAGATGGACGGTTCAGCCCCAACCGGCGGGCGGCAGCCTCAAGAGCGCCGCCAGGCCCAAACGATAATGCCGTTTGGGCCTGCCCGTCGGGTACTGGTCCAAGATCAGGCCCTGAGGGCCTGTAATACCCCAAGGTCGGGCCTTTAGGCCCTGATGTGTCCCTCCGGCCCTAAGCCGGGTCCGGTAGGACCCGTGTGCGTCGAAGATGTAACAGTACCTGACCACAAAACTGGATTGCATGCATTCATGCTGCTTTCCATTGATGAGCTGGGTGGTCACAAGTTAGCCAGTCAGCTATAGCTAGAGCTGGATAGCCAGCTACAGTTAGCAATCAACTACCATCATCCCCTGAACATAACACACCCTGGTAATGAATGCATACACATCATTGTTTTGCCCCAATGCAGTCAAAACACGGCTGCGTTGTGTTCGGGGGAAGGTGAGAGGTATAGATATTGGCTGAAAAGTGGGAGCTTTTAGCTATGGCTAGCGGGGAGCATGTTGACCGGCAGACGAGCAGGCTGGCCAGGTGACCTGGTAATGAATGTATACACATCGTTGTTTTGCCCCAATACAGTCAAAACTTGGCTGCGTTGTGCTCAGCGGAAGGTGGTAGGTATAGATATTGGCTGAAAGGTAGGAGCTTTTAGCTATGGCTAGCCGGCAGACGAGCAGGCTGGCCAGGCGGCCTGGTACTGAATGTATACACGTCATTGTTTTGCCCCAATACAGTCAAAACGTGGCTGCATTGTGTTCGGGGAAAGGTGGTAGGTAGAGATATTGGCTGAAAGGTGGGAGCTTTTAGCTATGGCTAGCCGGGAACATGTTGACCGGCAGACGAGCAGGCTGGCCAGGCGGCCTGGTACTGAATGTATACACAGCAGTGTTTCGCCCCAATACAGTCAAAACGCGACTGCATTGTGTTCGGGGGAAGGTGGGAGGTATAGATATTGGCTGAAAGGTGGGAGCTTTTAGATATGGCTAGCCGGGAGCTTGTTGACCGGCAGACGAGCAGGCTGGCCAGGCACTCAGCAGGAGGACCGGCTTGCTATGTGCTTGGCCGGCAGGCTTTGCATACTGGCTGATTGAATCTTTGATTCGTAAGTCCGTGCAATTGAGGGATAAAGGACCGTCCCATTCCTGGTCCTTGTTCTCGGCCCCCCTGGTCCAGGTCCTTGTCCTGGTTCATCTGTAGTGACAGCTGCAACCCAATCACTGTGACAGTGTGACTCTATAGTAGTGATGCATGCAGTTTTTTGGGGTTGCGCTTGAATCTTCCGATTCCGGTCAATCCAGGGCTGGGAGGTGTGCTTAAAATTGGAGGAGGAGATGCTATTCTGTTACTCTTCGGCCAACCCTCTCTACTTACAAGCCCAAGTGCTCTGAGAGCATGTGTGCAGCGCCATTCGCATCGAAGGCCCTGTGATGAGAAAGAATATATGTGGGTAAAAAATCTCTCCGACTTATTGGAGAACTACTACGCTAGCGCTAGCGCCCCGTAGCAGGCCAACCGGCACGGCCCGGTTGGCCCTGGCTCGACTACCACCCGGGGTGGAGGGCCCCGTGATTGCTAGGCCTGCATACGCGCCCAAGAGGACACGTGGCGCTTTCGATTGCCACGTGGCGTGCCAATTGTTTGGTGTCGTTGAGGCACGATGACGCGTAAGCAGGGGTAGCGCCGGCTGTGAGATTGCATCAAGTACCTCGCAAGTTAAGCGGCGTAGTCTGTCCGATTAACTGTGGTTTCACCCGGAGAGTTACATCGTTGAGCAGTGGCGTGGTTATGCACTCTGGAAAGGGGCCGGCGGAGGCTGCAGCTGATCGTGGGTGAGCTGTCTCTCCAAAAGCAGCAGGGGACGGAGGTTGACAGGGGGGCGATTTCACTGTCTGTCTGGCTGGCTGGTAGGAGGCTAGGAGCGATGATATGCTGGCGATCATCTGGGAACTGGAAGAGGGGCAAGCTTCTCAGCTCGATCCCATCATTGATTGGAGCCAGGCGGATGAGCTGCTGAATGTCTGTTATGCCCTCTTTGAAGAGGGTGTCGCCCTCCGTACGGAGTTGGAGGACAGCATAGGTTACCTTGGTGGCACCTGCATCACTGACGACGATATTATAACACCGCCACCAACCACAACAACAACAACAACAACAACAACAACAACAACAACAACAACAACAACAACAACAACAACAACAACAACAGCAATAATACCAACAACTTTGGTGGCTGCGAGGACTGCACCGAGTGCGCTGACAAAGGTAAGCCTGGTGGACGTGAGGACAACATCGGCGGCATGA